AGGGACCATTTCTTAAGGAGTTTACTTCAACGATAAACTTACGTATCATATTGAAGTATATAGTGATTTAGATTGTGCTGCATTCCCTGTAACCCGTCGTTCATTCAGTGGGTATTATGTCATGTTTGGTGGTTCTCCAATCTCTTGGAAGTCCAAGAAGCAGATAATCGTCTCCTTTTATCAGCAGAAGCCGAACACATGTAAATGAGACACATTTGTGCTGAATTAGCATGCATAAGTTGTTTGTTTTCCGAATTTGTTGTACCGAACATTATTCCTATACCTTTAAAATGTGATAATCAAGTTGCGATATACATAACTACCATCCAGTTTTCCACGAGAGAACTAAACACATCTATCATCAGCAGAAGCCGAATACATGTAAATGAGACACATTTGTGCCGAATTAGCATGCATAAGTTGTTTGTTTTCCGAATTTGTTGTACCGAACATTATTCCTATACCTTTAAAATGTGATAATCAAGTTGCGATATACATAACTACCAATCCAGTTTTCCACGAGAGAACTAAACACATCTATCATCAGCAGAAGCCGAATACATGTAAATTAGACACATTTGTGCCGAATTAGCATGCATAAGTTGTTTGTTTTCCGAATTTGTTGTACCGAACATTATTCCTATACCTTTAAAATGTGATAATCAAGTTGCGATATACATAACTACCAATCCAGTTTTCCACGAGAGAACTAAACACATCTATCATCAGCAGAAGCCGGATACATGTAAATTAGACACATTTGTGCCGAATTAGCATGCATAAGTTGTTTGTTTTCCGAATTTGTTGTACCGAACATTATTCCTATACCTTTAAAATGTGATAATCAAGTTGCGATATACATAACTACCAATCCAGTTTTCCACGAGAGAACTAAACACATCTATCATCAGCAGAAGCCGGATACATGTAAATTAGACACATTTGTGCCGAATTAGCATGCATAAGTTGTTTGTTTTCCGAATTTGTTGTACCGAACATTATTCCTATACCTTTAAAATGTGATAATCAAGTTGCGATATACATAACTACCAATCCAGTTTTCCACGAGAGAACTAAACACATCTATCATCAGCAGAAGCCGAATACATGTAAATTAGACACATTTGTGCCGAATTAGCATGCATAAGTTGTTTGTTTTCCGAATTTGTTGTACCGAACATTATTCCTATACCTTTAAAATGTGATAATCAAGTTGCGATATACATAACTACCAATCCAGTTTTCCACGAGAGAACTAAACACATCTATCATCAGCAGAAGCCGGATACATGTAAATTAGACACATTTGTGCCGAATTAGCATGCATAAGTTGTTTGTTTTCCGAATTTGTTGTACCGAACATTATTCCTATACCTTTAAAATGTGATAATCGAGTTGCGATATACATAACTACCAATCCAGTTTTCCACGAGAGAACTAAACACATCTATCATCAGCAGAAGCCGGATACATGTAAATGAGACACATTTGTGCCGAATTAGCATGCATAAGTTGTTTGTTTTCCGAATTTGTTGTACCGAACATTATTCCTATACCTTTAAAATGTGATAATCAAGTTGCGATATACATAACTACCAATCCAGTTTTCCACGAGAGAACTAAACACATCTATCATCAGCAGAAGCCGAATACATGTAAATGAGACACATTTGTGCCGAATTAGCATGCATAAGTTGTTTGTTTTCCGAATTTGTTGTACGAACATTATTCCTATACCTTTAAAATGTGATAATCAAGTTGCGATATACATAACTACCAATCCAGTTTTCCACGAGAGAACTAAACACATCTATCATCAGCAGAAGCCGAATACATGTAAATTAGACACATTTGTGCCGAATTAGCATGCATAAGTTGTTTGTTTTCCGAATTTGTTGTACCGAACATTATTCCTATACCTTTAAAATGTGATAATCAAGTTGCGATATACATAACTACCAATCCAGTTTTCCACGAGAGAACTAAACACATCTATCATCAGCAGAAGCCGGATACATGTAAATTAGACACATTTGTGCCGAATTAGCATGCATAAGTTGTTTGTTTTCCGAATTTGTTGTACCGAACATTATTCCTATACCTTTAAAATGTGATAATCAAGTTGCGATATACATAACTACCAATCCAGTTTTCCACGAGAGAACTAAACACATCGAGCTAGATTGTCATTTTGTATGAGAGAAACTTCAGTTTGGATTCATTTCATTGTCTCATGTCACCACTCATGATCAACTTGCGGATCTATTTACCAAAGCTTTAAATGGGTCTCAACATCGCAATGCAGTTTCCAAGCTTGGTTTACTTCCGTATCCTCCAGCTTAAGGGGGTGTCAACTTTCTTAAAGGGTATTCTTGGTAATTTAACAATAAAGGGCAATATGGTCATTGTGTACATAAGTTTGTTAGATTGTTTTTATACACAGGTATCTTGTATATATATGTGTAAACGGTTCTTTATTCAAGTTTATGAAAACTGAATTCATCCGAATGTTTGTCTTTCTTTGTCTCTCAATCTAAAAGATAACACCTTCAGCCACTCGTCTTCAATGCCAACGACACAGGTATGCTGTAGTTCATTGCTTCTCCGATTTCCCTCTTTTTCAGTTCGATTTTGAGATTTTATTTTTTTTTGTCGTTATGGTTGTCACCGGAGGTTTAACCACGTGTGACGACGTCTATTGCAACCTTCGGCAACCACACTATCCAGGTAAGGTTTTTTGATTTTTCAGTTTTTTTTTTCATAATACGTCCGGTGAACACCGGCCACTACGTCAATTTCCCACTTCCGGCCACTACTGACTTACTACTTTCGGCCACCACACCATCCACTGCCATAGAATAGGTAAGTTTTTTATTGGATATTATTGTATGAAAATGTAAAATTTAATATATGTTTTTTGATTTCATGTTTATAATTCTTTGAAAATGCCTACGTCTATTGCGACTTCCAAAGATAGGTCATCAGAATAGGTTCAGAATAAAACTTTTTTTACCTCAAAAATCAGTCACGACGACCATTTGAAGAGGATATGTCGTCAACATTGATGGTTCTGTACCGACGACATTTTCCACTTTTACCGACGGGGTTATACTGATGACTTTGTACAAATGACAAGTCGTCGGTTTAGGCTTTTACGATGACATGTCATCGACATAGTTGTTGAAACTATGTTGTTATAGGTCTGCTTGTGGTGAGAACATGTGAGTTGAGACTTTGGGAGAAGTTACATAAACATGATTTGCTTTATATGATACATAGTGATGATTTTGATAGTGACGTTGTTTTCTTATCGGTTCCAAGTTCGTACTTTCACAGATTTTTCTGGACAGTGTTGATTTTCTTTTACGCATCGCTATGTGTACTTCACCCAGCCTCTTGATAGTTCTCTTTTTTGTAATTGAGATTTGTTGAAAGTTAATCTAGACTTACGGTTAATTTGGTAATTATGTTGTAGTAGTTAATCCTGGTTAAAATTAGTTATTATAAGTTAGTTATTTCTGGAAAGTTAGTTAGTTATATGGAAGTTATTAACGATCACAGTGAAGGGGTGCAATGGTTGTGAAAGGGTTGCATCTGTTCGTATGTGTGTGAGCTTCAAACATGTAAATTATATGAAGGTTGTTAATATCGTATTTAATAAAAAAATCTGTTTTGATTGCAATATCTTTCTCTCTTTATTTTTCAATGCCTTTCTTCAACAAAATTGTTGTCCCTAAAAAACCATAGAATGTCACGTATAAAGTGAAATACATAATATACACATCAGACATTAAATTATTGTATATAAACATCTTAAAAAACACTATGGAATATTATATATTAATTATATAGATTTTTTCCACGCATTATGTGGGTAAATATTTTATTAGGGTGTTATTGATACATATAATCTATTTTATAGATTGGTATCCTTGTATCTTGGGATCATGATTCTCTGGTTACTTTATAATAGCATGATTGTCATTTGCCAAAAAAATTGTGAAAAACAAAAACGTGGCTTCTCAATTTTGGTGAACTTTTGTTGTTTTTCTCCTTCTATTGGCTATATATTAATTAAAATTTAGAAATGCTTTCTTGCTGTTAAAAGATAAAACTATTTGTCTCTACCCTTGTGGTGATCTAGTTTTTACCGTTGCCCTTGTGTGGGTGATATGGAAACACAGGAATGATTGTGTAATGAACATCTATTACAAAGCATTTAGCTAGCAATAACCCGGGGACTGAATGTTGCAATTTATGTGTTGCTGTTCAAAAAACAATTATTTGCATTGTTTCCTTTTTTCTTATCATATGATAATCTGTCTTTCCATTGCATAATTGTTAAACATGGTAATAAGAAATAAAACTAGAGAAACTATTCAGAAAGTGCAATGAAGCTACGCAATACTATTGAAAAAAATATAGATATGCATTACAGTATACGGTTATAATTAGATGGCATACAAATACAAGTTTAAAAAAAAAAAAAAAAAAAAAAAAAAAAAAAACTAGATAAACTGACAGCCTAGACATAAACATTGAACTTACATGTTAAATTTATGTAATGAAAACTACTATACAACTTTGACATAAATAGATTAAAGAATTATTGGAATATAACTAGATTCTAATTTGGCTTTAATGAAGTTACTGTTTCCTAAATCTTTAAAAAAAAAAAAAAAAAAAAGTGTTGGAACGTAGATCTGTTATGTTTTTGAACAGTTATGATGAAGCAGTATTTTACTTTTATTCCTACGGTCATCATTTATAGAACATATCACCCTCCATTGACACCTATAAAAACCCACAATACCCTCATTCTAAGCACACAACACGCACCATCATATTCTCCCTTGGACAATCAATTAGATATGGCATCAAAATACAGTGTTTTATTAGTTCTTTTTCTTGCTAACAACCATCTATTGTTTACCATAGTTAATGGTTGTGAAACTACCCCTACCTCAAAAAGTAACGTAAACCCAAATCCAAACACCAATATGAACCCTTACTATAATCCTAACCCTAACCACGATTCCAACCCTAGTTCCATCTCGGATTCCAATCCCAATTCCTCTCCCAATTCTAACCCCACTCCCAACCTCTCCAATTCAAACCCAAACCAAAACCCATCGACAAATATTAACCCACCATGGGCAACATGCCCTAGAGACGCCTTGAAACTAGGAGTGTGCGCCAATCTTCTTAGGGGGTTGATTAGTGTTGAGGTGGGTTCGCCACCAGTAAAGCCTTGCTGCTCTCTTATCCAAGGACTTATCGACCTTGAGGCTGCTCTCTGCCTTTGCACTGCCATCAAAGCCAACGTGTTGGGTATCAATCTCGATGTACCACTGTCTCTCAGCTTGATACTTAATGCTTGTGGCAACCAAGTCCCAAGTGGCTTCAAGTGTGCCTGACTCAAGCTATATGACTTGATCATTACATCTGGTTTTACATTGTACGAGATTGTGTGTTGAAAATTATGTTGGTGACAAGTCAGTCCTTTCACTTTTTCATATATAAAATTCACTTTTGTTCTTATTTCCTGGAAGTAAATGATCCTTCACCTCAATTCACGTCATAACTTTTTTACAATATTTTCTTTTATCCCTGTATTGATAAGTAACTATAGTGTTTTTTCATTGAACATGTAAAAGTCATATAATTATAATGTATCCCTTTTATTGTAAATGTTACTAACAATAAAGTTTTAAGGATCAATTTTTATTGGAACACCAAGACTTTTAACTAAATGAAAGCTGGCGAGAAGTGGACTTAATACATTCCAATATATGGTTGTTACTTTTCAAAAGTCGCCGCAAGAGGATCTCGTTGTCGCTGGTAATGGTAATAGCGGCGACACGTCGCCGGTAAGAAGTCGCTGCTTCTGCTCCGTCGTTTTTGATCAATTTATCGCCGCTAAAGGGTAAAGTCGCCGCTAATTCTTTTTTCGCCTCTAAAGAGTATAGTCGTCGGTAATAGTGTCGTCGGTAATAACAGTTTTTCAATTTTTAAATTTTTTTTAATCAACGATTTTCATTGCCGGTAATTACATAACAACATCCGATTAAATATTAAAAGTCCTGGTGTTGCCGGTAATTAATTACATAATACCGATTAAATATCAAAAGTAATAGTGTTGATAATAATAGTATCGCCGGTAGTTACATCAAACAACCAAAAATGTTACAATTCTAACAAGTAGCAAAGTTGACAACAATTGTAATATAGAAATAAAGCTCCTCCCTACATACCATCATCTTCGTTCTCATCATTTCCTCGATTATTTTGTGAGTGAAAAAATGAATAAAGCTCATCCCCACACGCCGGGTCGTTGAGTATTGCTCGAAGATTTTCCAACTACATAATAAATAACAAGATATATAAACTTATAAGTTAAATTATTAAACATAAACAAAAACTATTCAAGTACATTTCTATTTTTAAATTAAGACAAAAAACCGAAGTACATTGCTATTTCTTACACTTGGGACAAAAACCCAAATACCAAAGTTTTTAGCAAATAACCACTACAAAACCAAAATTATCAAATCAACATGCATTTTATGATGCCAAATTAGATTGTTATTTTTTAATGAAGACAAAAAGCTAAAGTACATTGCTATTTCTTGCACTTGGGACAAAAACCCAATTACCAAAGTTTTTAGCAAATAATCACCACAAAACCAAAATTACCAAATCAACATGCATTTTATGATGCCAAAGTATAATGTTATTTTTTGCACTTGCGACAAAAACCCAATTACCAATGCTTTTAGCAAATAATAACCACAAAACCAAAATTATTAAATCAACATGCATTTTATGATGCTAAAGTAGATTGCTATTTTTAAACTAAGACAAAAAAAAAATCAATGTACATTGTTATGTCTTGCACTTGGGACAAAAACCTAATTACCAAAGCTTTTAACAAATTATCACCACAAAAAACCAAAGTAGATTGTCTTACCGATGATGGTTGTGGTGATAGTTGTGATGGCTGTGAAATCGGCGGGAGAGCAGAAGGTTTACGGTCGATGTATCTGATATGGTCACGTCGCTCTCCTAATACTTTCTCAAAAGCAGCTCTTTCTTGAATGGGTGCTAACTCGAGTTCACATTGGGTTTGTTCTAAGAGCTCTTCGACTAACCGATTCTGTAATTCCCAAAAGTGAGTAACAACTAAGTATAAATAAACACTTAATTATATGAAAAAATTATAATTAAATACTTATATATTATTGTTCCGCCTCGGTAGTAACAAATACACCATCCATATTGGTATGAGCCTTGCGAAACGTTTCCACTCACGTAATGTTTTGTTTAACATCAAAAATTAGAATGTATTTTAAATAAATAATTGCATGTAATGTACGTTATCTTCTTATAGCAAGTATTGCTATACGAGCTCGACCCCCTACGATTCACGTTCGTTTGCATTTCACAGACTTTTTTGTTCCTCTCTAAAGTAATTTTGTGTCCGTCCGTTTGGAAATAGCATCCATACCCTCCGAAGGGTTGGCTAATGCTCTCGGGATGTCATCATACCCTCCGATTGCCATAAAATATTCTTTTCCGTTAGCTTTACGTTCTCGATAGCCTTTTAACAAAGTTGCTTGAAAACTCTCTGTCAACATACTAGCTTGTACATCCTGGTACTTCTGATCCAAATCAAACTTTGTCTACACAAAAAATTTTAAAGTTAACCAAGTAAAAACCAGTCATAGTTAACCATGTAAAATATTTTAAAATAGATAATTACCCCTAAATGTTGTATTACGGTGTCCTTTAGTGCATGGGAAACTTTTTTCCAAGTCCATTTATCAAAAGGCATCATATGCCTCATTGTTTTTCCAATTTCTCGTGAAAGCATGTCTTTCGTCTCTTCTACGGGATCAAATGTTATATCCCTATCATATTCCATGCTAATCGGTTTTCCTTGATTCTGTAAGAGCGCGCTTTCAAGCTTTATATTTTTGGCTTTGCCTCAGACTTTCCTACGTTCACGTTGCTCAACTACAAATATAATTAAAAATGATATTTAATTTATAATAACTGAATAAAAATAGTAAATAAAAATTTATAATAAGACTTACGTTCCTACTCGTGATGACCAACACCTCTACCACCTGGGAGAGGTGGGTCCTCAACTCCATCACCCCCGTGTCCACGACCCATAACAGCAACCATGGTATACACAAACAAAAGCCATTTTAACATCATTTCTTGAAAAATTATAAGATCTAAAAATACAATTTTTATTACAAATACGCATTACATAGAAATAAACATTTACATAGGAATAAACATTTCGATTTAAACTAGAAATCCAAATAAAGTTCATATTACAAACACGTATTACACAAGACTCTAGGAATGTTTTGAATGTACATGCTGAAATTGATAAAAAGTGAAGCATCGGATGAAGAGATATTTTGAAGTACATTGACATTGTCTACATTTTTGTGTTATCCATTATCAACATTTTGGACAGGATCATCGTTCGATGGAAGATCCCAAATACTTTGATGATTAACGCGCTAGACAACACACTGATGCTTATTGTTTGGCTCTCTGATGTAGAACACTTATTTAGCTTGTGAAGCATATATAAGTTGATCATCTTTGTATGCTTCGCGTCGTGTGTCGATACTGGTGCAATTATCACTAGAAATAACTCTTGTTCAAGTATCAACCCACTTGCAATGAAATAGTACGTTTAAATAATCATGTCTATACCTCAACTCTATAATCTCTTCTAACTGGCCATAATATATCTTGCCTTTCTCACCTACTGCTAAAACCCCAGAGTTTTGTGTTGTACGTTGTGCATCACAACTAAGTACCATAAACCTAACACCGTTGACTATGCATGTGGTGTAAGAATAAGAATTCATTTGCAGAACCATTACAAGAGCCGACAAGTCTTTGTGGAATGGTGGAGAGTTCTCTATTTTCATTTGATGAACCTAGAAAATATAAAGTAATATGTATTATGTATTCTATAGATCAATGAAAAAAAATGTTTATTAATTTATATTACCTTTTCACGAAACCAATTACGAAATTCTCTCTTTTCATCACTTTGTGGATGTTCAGATTTGAATTTCCTATGTTGATGACCAAAAGATGTAGATTTAAAAAGATAAAAAAAAGATTAAGGATGAAAGTTAGAGATAAGAATAGTTACTTGATATACTGTGTGACTTCTTCACAGCTATTCAATACAAACCATTCCATGTTACGCATTTCCGTTAAATCAAGAGTTTTGATTTGAGTTGTGCTGGTCGGTCGACATTTAGACTCAAACATCCAAAACTTTGTTTTTTCAATGACACCATCTTCATTTCTTTCCGGACGATTGAATTGATTCTTTACATCTCGAAGGTACATCGAACAAAATGATAAAGCTTCTTCAGCAACATAACCCTCAGGTATAGAACCTTCCGGCCTCACCTTGTTTTTGACATAATGTTTTAGTTTTTTCATATACCTTTCGAAGGGATACATCTATTTCATACATACCAGGCCTCTAGAAATCGCTTCATCGGGTAAATGAAAAAGTAAATGAACCATAATGTCAAAAAACGTTAGAGGATAAATCAATTCCAACTTTCACAAGATTTCAATAATGTCTACTTTTGCTTTCCTCATATCCTCCACCTTCAATGTTCTGGAACAAAGTTTCTTGAAAAACATACAAAGGTCTACAATAGGTGTATAAATGTATTTGTCTAACAACCCTCTTACTCCAATCGGTATCAAACGTTGCATAAGAATGTGATGGTCATATGATTTCAACCCAATAATGTTAGTATTGGTATCGTTCACTTTCTTACTGATATTAGAACCATACCCATCCAACAGTTTATCATCTTTTATAAATTGACAAAAGAGTTATCGACTAAATTTCGTGAAAGATTATCTTTCATGGGGTCTATGAAACTAGTCGCCATTTTTTTTCAACCATTCATTTCTCTGAATGTTTAGAATTCTCAAGTCCTCCCATGCATTTGATGTGTCTTTACTTTTATCGTTCATTAGAATAGTACCTAACAAACTCTCATCCACATTTTTCTAGACATGCATGAGATCTATGTTGTGTTTCAACTATAGAGAAGACCAATATTTGAGTTCGAAGAAAATGCTTCTTTTCGACGAGTTCAACTCGTCATCTTGCCGCTTTGGCTCCCTACCTCCATGCTCAAGATGTTTACCCAGGAAATTACCGTAACACCTTATGAGCTACTCTCTTGCCCTTGGTGTTTTTATCGATCCATCAACTCTCTTTACAAACGGGACAAACTTGCAATGAATTGTGTTCTTTCCAAATGAGAAAACAATCGTTTTTGCACACATGTATCGACTCATACCCCAGACCAATAGAATTCAATTTCTATTTGGCTAGATAATGTGA